CAGCAACCCGGCCCCCGGCTCAAAAAGGTTGCCTACCCCTGGTCTCAAAGGTGCTACAAGATCTCTCTACAACTGATTCTACAGACTAGCATGGCTATTTAATTGAATTTTAGTGATGGTGGTACTATAGGCAGATCTGACTAGGTATCCTCCATTGAAACCTCAATATTTTCACTGTGTGATCCCTCTCCAGACAGACTTAAACATATGACTAATCTAAAGGGAGGAAAAAATTGAAACCAGAGGAACTATCAATTCTGAACTATTCATTTTGTTTAATTGAATCTTTATGCTACTTAATGGCTTAAGATTGTAGAAGGAAAGAGGGTGAGGATGAGGATATTCTGCCTGAAGCTCAAGGTGGTTTACAAAGATAAAAATAGATGCCAATAAAAGCACACATGAGTGAAAATATTCAAGAAATTGAAACAGAATAACTAAAGTCCTATTGGTTACTACCAATGACTCATTCATTGAACTGTGAGTCAAAATATAGTTGAATCTCATCGTTTCAATGAGTTTACTTCAGTTTTTACTACCTGTATGATTTAGCTTAGTAATTATCTATCTATCTATCTATCTATCTATCTATCTATCTATCTATCATCCATACAAATAATGTTTTGACTTTTTAACAGGTAGGGTTCTCTTCCAGAAAAGAAAGTAATTTCCCCCCTAAAATATTTTTTGTTACATCACTTGTTTAAAGTGGTGATGGTATGACCAGAGAAAAATAGAGGACTCAATAGGATTTGTGTATGTCACTTCTTCTTCCAGAGAGCATTGAAAGCCAATTTGGACTAGTTAAATCATAGGATTGATCAACATTCTCCTCATGCATTAACACTTTTTGACTCTTAATTTGCAACATAGAATTATGGACAATGAAATTACACTTGCAAGTTTTAATATATTTCATTTTTGATTGCAAAAGATGTGTTGGATTACTAATTCAGTCCTGGGCATCTAAGTTGTGATGCCTTCTCAGTTGCTTAAGGGAGAGAGATGGGGAACTTGGTAGAACCCAAGAGTCATTTATTTTCTGTTACATGGGATTTTTCAGAACAGCAATTTTGTATTCATTTATAATGTTTATCAGCACTCGAATGGCATTTTTAAGAGAGTAAATTAGCATCAGGCTTGTAATGAATGATACATTGAGAAACAGGGAATTGATAATGTTTAGCCATTTGAATATGGGAAAAATTCTTGTTTAGATGTACACTTAGGAATTATTTATATCCTCTTATGTCATAGAAATGATAATCCATGCATTGAGGCAGAAAGAATAACGTTAATACTAAAGGTTCAGTTTAAAATCTGCTAATTGCACATGAAGGAATTATATCTGCTTTTACCTTACTTTATTTTATTGGAAGGTTCCTTTCCCACCCAGCCACCCCACTTTCTTT